GTCGACTGTACTTACGTTGTTGCTGCCAGACTGTAGGGCTCCCGCCGAGGACTCATCCTCCTCCTCTTCTTCCTCTGGGATCTCCTTGAGCGGCGTCATCGGATTCAGTTTGACCGATTCGGCTTGCAAGGATTTGCTTTGCTCCTGTCCATCCTCCATTATGCCACTTTAGTTTCGACTCTCCTTTTTAGCCGGCGAAGCAACGGCACAAAAGAGAGATGCAAAAAGCGAAAAAGAAGCGCCGCCGCACACACAACAACAAATCGTAAGTAAAAAAAAAAAAAAAACTAAAAAAAGAAGCACACACTGTTGCAATTCCTGCCAGCGAATATGTGTGTGTGTGGATAATGTTCGCTAACTCGTTCTCACTCTCTACCGCTCCGCTCTCTATCCTTCCTTCTCTGTCTGTCTGTGCGTGTATGAACGTGTGAGTGCGCTTACGCACGCCGTCGTGTTTTTTTTTTATTTCTTTTTTCTTGTATCGTCGAGATTTTTACACACGCGGCGATATTTTTAAATAATATTCTGTTTGGCGCCACAAACTGACAACGTCTGCACAGGATTTTGGCTTCTTGGCCACCACTAAAGATCAAATTCTGGGCACTAGCACTGCAAAATTAGAGGCGGGAAAAAGGATTGAATACCGAATTCGGGCGAAGCGTTCCGAGGTTCTTGCCTTTGGATTTGCCCTTACCGCTTTCCTGCATGCCGCCCGTTTTCTTTAATATTTTCCTATTTTTCGGGACTTCCGGACACCGCCGCTTGTCAGATTTTATATATATTTATAATTTTATCACCTCTCTTTTGTCTTTGTGCTTCTTCCGCTTGCACACACTGCTTTCGCAATTCTTCGTTCCTCTTCTTCACGCTCTGCTCACACACACACACGCGCGCTGCGAATCGGTAGAAATTTTTGCATTTTACTGCGGCCGAATGCACGTTTCTGGTTGCAATTTAACGTTTGCCACTCGCCGTTAGTTTGTCGATTGTGGCGCGAGCATAATGCAACGCCGATTTGCAACAAACGGAATTTCACAAAAAAAAGCACGATTTGATTTGGGAAAAAACGCGTGTGTGGCCACAGTGTAGAGCTGGAACCAAAATCGATGTTTGCCCGATACTATCGGTGTCTCGGGCAGCGTGTCTTAATCGATACTTTGCCAGCAGCTATCGATCACTTGCACGGTTGCGGTTTGAAAGTCTTGTATTATCAAATATTTTTAAATGGAAATGAACGTCATAATGGTATATAACATAACAGGCGAATGTTCTTGGAATACCCTTTTACTCATTTGACAGACAAGCTTCAAGTTTGACATATATGTACGTTTCAAAACATCACTCGTTATTTTGTAATTTGAATACTAAAGAATTTTAGTGATTAGAGGAAATTTTTTATTCCTCTAAAAGTTGAAGTGCGAATTTTTAAAATAATTAATTTACTTTGTGAATATACAAATAAATATCTAAATAAACTAGACTAATGTTAATCGATAGTTGCCCCAAAAAGTATTCCCAGCGAGTCCAAATGCAGCGAGTGCTAGTGTGACCAAAGGTGGAAATGAACTAATACAAGAAAATGTAGATAAACCAGTAAAATATAGGCGCCAAATTTGAAATGCTTTATTTAGATGCAAATATTACAGAGAACTTATAGTAATTCATTATTGAATAAATCTTAAACACTCTATTAAACGCCGAATCCCAAATGTTCTAGTTGAATTTTGGCAAACCATTTTGATTTAACTAGTGTTTACAGCTTAAAAAACTTCGCTCTTTATTACTGTACATGTCAAATGGTATTATTGAACAAATTAAGAGATTAACGTTTTTAGGGCTGCAAAATAAATACCGCTAGTCGATAGCGTCATCATGTTAGTTTTGCCATCCCTAGGTGATGTTATTGTTGTTGCCTTGTTGTTGTTGCACAGTTGTTGTTGCTGCTGCTGGGCAAACAAGTGTTAAAAACTATTTGCGCTGCAATATTTTCAGCAATTACTGACCGCCATCGCCGCTGTTCACCCCCCAACTTAACCAGTAACCCAGATTGGAGCAACGAAATCCATAGAGGCATAAAGAATCAGCTTACACAATAAAACCTTAATCGGTTGGGTAAACAATTGGATTGCTGTGAGCAGCCAGCTGGGGTAATCTCTTCGATTTGTCAAGTCCAGAAATAATGAGCCAAACGGAGGCTAGCAAGACACCCAAGATCCCGGACTCGGAGCCAGACGGAGCGAAGGGCAAAGGGAAGCAACAGCTAGAAACTTATCGGGTGTATGTGGTCACCTGGAATGTGGGCAGTCGCTTTCCGGAGAACATATCCCTGCGCCATCTGTTGGGACTGCAGGATGTGACGGTGGACGAGGACGTGAAGGAGACTAATGCCCACATGCCAGACATCTATGCCTTGGGTCTCCAGGAGGTCAATGCCCAGCCGCAGCAACAGGTGTTGGGCCTGTTCAAGGAGGATCCGTGGACGCACAAGGCTAAGGAACTGCTCCGTAAATACGACTATGTGGCCGTAAAGACCGAGCAGATGCAGGGACTGCTGCTCAGCATGTTTGTGAGGCGGCAGCACGTTGAGCACTTGCAGGACATGGAGGCGGAGTTCACGAGGACCGGTTTCGGTGGCATTTGGGGCAACAAGGGCGCCGTCAGTGTCAGGTTCACCCTTTATGGCTGTGGCTTGGCCTTTGTTGTGGCCCATCTGGCTGCTCATGACCATCAGCTGGACGAGCGCATCGAGGACTACAAGCATATCCTGGAGAATCATCACTACCATGTCAAGCGGTATAGGGAGATCTACGATCACGACTATGTCTTCTGGTTTGGCGATCTGAACTTCCGATTGCAGGGCAGCGATTCCTCTACAGAAGTGCGCGAGCTGCTACGCGATGAGTCCCAGCACGAGGCCCTTATACAGCGGGATCAATTGTACCAGGTCCGCGAGAAGTCGCAGAAGGCATTTCAGGTCTTGCAGGAGCGACTGCCCGCCTTTCCGCCCACCTTTAAGTTCCGCGAGGGCACCTCCGAGTACGACCTGAAGCGGCGCCCAGCCTGGACGGATCGGATCATGTACGCCGTGCAGCCGCTGAACAGGCAACCCGGCATGCATCTGTCCATCGAGCAGTGCTCGTACAAGTCCCACCCCTTGTACACCATCAGTGATCACAAGCCGGTGACCAGTGACTTTACCATCAAGCTCTATCCGAATGTACGGGCGCCCGGCGTGGTATTTTCGCCACTTTCGGTCTGGAAGATTGGGGACGAGAACACCGTGGAGTACCGCAAGCAGGCAGAGTTCGACGAAGGTCCCAACGACTGGATTGGCATCTATCCAGCTGAGTACGCCAGTTTGGCGGACTACGTAGCCTACGAGTATGTCAACCAGGCTGAGTCGCCCACATCCTCGGATTCCAATCACGAACCAGATCCGTTCGAGACGCCCTCGCATCACCGAAGGGGTCGGCATCATCACAGGAATCGCCAGAGACTGCGGCGCCAGCAGGAGGCCAATTCCCAAGAGCAGGTGCGACTAGATTTCGCCGACGATGTGGAACTGCGTCACGGCGAGCAGTACCTGTTGATATATTTCCGCAGTACCGGAGTCAGGGGCGTGACCAGTTTGGCCGGCGTCAGTGGTTTCTTTGTGGCGGAGAAGCGACACGGCTCGCCCCATCGGACGGAGTACCACGTTGACTAGCTAGCCGAGGCTCTGGACATCTTTATTCTTTAGTCTCTGTTTTTGTATCTGCCGTGCCGATCTAATTTTATTGACCTTTTGTGACCGTGTTAAGTTTGCTTGTTAGCTGTTGACTCAGCGCCCACCCCCAAATACGTTAATACGTAATTATATGATTATCGAACCAATAATGTTTGTGTTTACTACTGTTCCCATCCATTCCCAGCCTGAATCCAGCTTTCGTTTGCATATGTTCTATTTGCTTTGCTGTCATTTTGTTATTTTTATTTGTACGGTGTCATGGCACTAGATTTTTGTATTTAACCGGTTTGCAAAAGGTTAATTGCGCCACTCACTGTCACATATATACACTATGACACACCCGCGCACAGTGGGCCAGAAATTAGCAAAAACTCATTGAATCTCTGCCCAGGTGCGAGCTTTTAACGGGGCTTCAGTTCAAGCTTCAGTTGATTTCAGTTACAATTTTGTGAAAGTAAGCCAAATGAATCTACTTGTTAGGCAGAACACGTAGTCTGAAAAGTGATATTTTTGAATGCGTCGCAAGTAAAATATAGAGAAAAATATTATATTAAATGGTAGAAAAGTAAAAATATAATTTTACTTTATTTTAATGTAGGCAAATTTTATTATTTTTTTTTAAAGCGATTTTATACAAAAAACGAAAAAAAGATAACCTTTTAACTATGATTCCAAAAAACCAGCTCAAAAATGGATTTTTCTTTAAAACAAAAAGAAAATGTTTTTTACCCGGAAACGTTAAGACTTTTATAAAACTATTTCCATTGTATAACCACATACGATCTTTTTCTGATCTGATCTGATGGGTAAATAATCCATAAAATGTATATGACCAAGTCGAAGCAAATTATAAAGATAGTTTAAATAAGGACTGCACTTTTATGATAGCTGCAATCAAAATAGACCACCAAGCAGACAATTCAAGCAACCTGCGCAGAGTTTCACCCACCTTACAGTGGGTTATTTAAAATCCGAGCTCTTGCCTTGAAATTGGCAATGTTTTGATGGACTGGTTAAACCTACGGTGGTGCCCACTGTACTCGAACGATCGAATGGTGTAAGCATTTTCGACCCCATCTGTGGTCCGAAAACCAAAAACGTAAGCATAAATTTATGCGGGCTCGGTCAATTGCAATTACTGTGGCTTAATAACCTTCAACAACTATTAGATAACTATATTACCCTTATACCAGTGGACACTTAACCAATATATGGGAGTGCATTTACCACCTACCTATAAACATATACATATGCATACATATATACAGACATATGCCTTATCAAAGTGAAAATTAATCAATTTACTTAATAGAATGAAAACATTTACAATTGTGTAGTAATTTATGAATACATAGGTCAATTTTAGGTTGGCGATGGTTTGCTAGTGGGATTTCAGTTAGTGATCAGTCGAAAATGATGGAACATAAAGCCTAATACAAATGAACTAGCAAGTTGTAAACGCTTCAATCACTTCGAATACTTTGCCTTCGCACTTGATTGTTCGTAATTCCTATTAAACTTTTCAGAACAGCACTTTTATAAATCGTCTATAGAAAATATATCTTGTGAAAAATGTAAACATAAAAAAATAAACATTTATTAATAGGGAATATAAGGATTTGAATTTTTCTTGCCAACTTCTCACTTTGCCTTCAGCTTGCCTCGTGACTAACTACCAGTGAAGTACATCAGCTGATAGGACCTCATGTTAAGTCCGCTGAAGCATCCAATGCGATGGATAAACTTGAGATAGTGCGAGCTGCTGTCTGCTTGTGCTTGATAGTCGATTTTGATGCTAGGTTCTTTATTTTTGCTAATTTGAAACGAGTTTGCTGGTTAGCTCGACGAGGGAGTTTTGAGGAATTTATGGGTTAGCATGTTGTTGAGGGCGCAATCTTGGAATCGAGTTGCTTGGGGTAGAAAGTATGTGTCGACGGTGGCGGACATGGTACATTTCCAGTATGTGTTGATCATTTACGGCGGCAAACCAAGGGTTTTGCGCACCAGCCGTCGGGCGATGGCGTTGAACTCATCTCTCTGCTCGCGCCACATAATGGCTGCATCCACATTAGCGCCGCTCTCATCGTTGGGTTCTGTGGGGAAAAACAAGCAACATCAGTAGTTTTTTGTTTGCGCAGGGAGCCCATTTGGTATTGATCTCTTAGTTTACGCTTGACCTTTATTGACAGATGTTTCACTGACATTAGCTTTAATGCACTTAATAAATGAAGAAATTAAGTCAGCAAATAAGTGATCACAAGGAATCTTCAGAAATATACAAATTAACTTCAGGAATGTACAAGCGAACTCCCGGAATGATCGAGCAAGTAAGCCCAGTGAATAAATGAACTTGGAAATAGATAACCTGTCGAAATAACCCTTAACCCTTAACTTTAATATTAGTAACTTCTGCTTACCCGCCAGCATGCTGACCACGCTAAGCAAAATCTTCTCCACGCTCTGGACAGGACTCCAGCGCTCCGCGGATAGCTCGTAGCCCATGGGATCGTCGCCGGGTGCGTGTAGTATTGATATGCAGACCCGCCCATCGGCGAATATGTTGGGATGGAACATATCACAAGTGAATTTCATTTTTGGCGGACTCAGGGGGTAGTCAGTCGGAAAGACAAGTCTGGCGGGGAACACACCGCCCTCGAAGCAAGTGCCCTCAGGTCCGCTGCAAAGGCCAAAGGGCAATGTATGTAAATCAACATATGTAAATCTGTCCATTATTTCGATCTGTGACGATCGTATGGTGATCTCAACTCACGCAATCAGGGCCTCCCACTCGAAAAAGTTGTCCTCGCTGATGGGGCCGGCCACAATGCCCTCGGGCGGGTCAAGTGTTAACTCTGGAGAGGATTAATGTGGTGGTTAGAGAAAGAACTTGAAGCCCTGTGGACTTTCGACTCACGTTTGTATTCCGCCATCAGACGGCGCAGTGCGGACCCAGCCATCCTGGATGTGCTCGATGGTAATGATGATGGTTCAGTTCACTTGCGCCTTCTCCCCACGGTGACCACTTCCTTTGCGTTTCCTTCAGCTGCTCCTCCGTGTCCTGTCCACCTGCTCCTGCCCTGCTACACCCGAATGGTGTCCTGCTTGTTTTGGCGGTTATCGCGCACTTTCCAGATCCTTGGGCACGGGTCAAAATGCAGACACGTCGTAATATAATAAACACAAATCTTTCGTGTTTATTTATATCGAATGTATCGAATGGTTTTCGATGGCAATATATCTGTACTGAGTAAACTGGCAAGGGTAATCTATTTGATTCGATAGCGGGAGTAATGAGCTATCTTCGCTTTAGTTGGTTGCTCATGTACACTACTTAATTAATTTGATTTGTTCGATTAGTTTGATTTTTAAACAATTATTGGTGGTAATTTTCAATTGTGAAATTTAAATTTAGGCCTTATTATAATAATTTTATATAGATATATAATATATAATAATTGTATACATTTTACTTATTAGGCTTTAAATTAATAGTAATGGTTCCGAATATAACGTTATTGAAATAAACGTATATTTATTTTGATGTAGAATTTAATTTTTCGTTTGATTGCAAGCGACTGCTGTCCAAAGTACGATATCGATTACATCGAAAGTGAAATGCAAACATCGATAAATCGCTGCCCGAGTCGATATTATTTATGTATTTGTTGTAAAACAAAAAGAGCGCGATTTTGTGCAAAAAATCGCATATAATAAGATGCACATCAAGCAGGTGAGTGTTGAACTGGTGGCCATGCTACTGGCAACCCGGTGGATACCGGAGATCTGAAATCCGCCCTCAATTGCAGATTATTATACAAGGCTTCAAGAGTTACAAGGACCAGACGGTGGTGGAACCATTCGACAAGCGCCATAACGTTGTTGTTGGACGTAATGGCTCCGGGAAGAGCAACTTCTTCTACGGTGAGTAGCAGCTTCGGCCTGCCTATTCCGCCATCCATATCTAATCGGCCCTAATGCCATCTCTCTCCGTTTGCAGCCATCCAGTTTGTGCTAAGCGATGAGTTCACCCACCTGCGGCCGGAGCAGCGCCAGTCGCTTCTGCACGAGGGAACGGGTGCCCGCGTCATCTCCGCCTATGTGGAGATCATCTTCGACAACTCGGACAACCGAGTTCCAGTGAGTAGTTAAGCCAAGTGATCCATAAAACATAATCTTTGCAAGAAGTGTGTTTCATCCGTCGAAACATTAGTAAATGTAGGCAGTAGTCTATTAATTGGGTACAATCTTACAGGCAAACATTTCTAGCCACTTCCTAACGCTACGCCTATTTTACAGATCGACAAGGAAGAGATCTTCCTGCGGCGCGTGATTGGCGCCAAAAAGGACCAGTATTTCCTCAACAAGAAGGTGGTGCCGCGCAATGAGGTGGTCAATCTGTTGGAATCGGCTGGTTTTTCCAGTTCAAATCCCTACTACATTGTGAAGCAGGGCAAAATCAATCAGATGGCAACAGCAGCGGATTCCTATCGTCTCAAGCTGCTCCGCGAGGTCGCGGGAACGCGTGTTTACGACGAACGAAAGGAGGAGTCGTTAAATCTTTTGCGGGAGACGGATAGCAAGGTTGAGAAAATCAGCGAGTACCTGAAAACCATCGAGGATCGGCTTCAGACACTCGAAGAGGAGAAGGAAGAGCTAAAAGAGTACCAGAAGTGGGACAAGACGCGGCGCACCCTAGAGTACATACGCTACGAAACCGAGCTGAAGGACACCAAGAAGGCTCTCGACGAGCTTCAGCTGCAGCGCAAGTCCTCCTCGGACAAAAAGAAGATCTATAACATCGAGATTCAGAAGGCACAAGAGAAGATCAAGGATGTGCAAAAAAACCTTAAGGAGGCAAAGAAGAAAGTGCAAAGCACCAAGGAGGAGCGCTCCGTGCTGATGACAGAGCAGCAACAGTTACTGCGCGAGAAGACGAAACTGGACCTGACCATCGTCGATCTAAATGACGAGGTTCAGGGCGACAACAAGTCCAAGGAGCGGGCTGACCAAGAGCTTAAGAACCTTAAAGTTACAATAGCGGAGCGCGAGAAGGAACTGGACGACGTAAAGCCCAAGTACGAGGCGATGAAGCGCAAGGAGGAGGACTGCTCCCGAGAGCTGCAGCTCAAGGAACAGAAGCGCAAGGAGCTTTACGCCAAGCAGGGTCGCGGCTCTCAGTTCTCCTCTAGGGAAGATCGCGACAAGTGGATCACCAACGAGCTGAAGTCCATTAGCAAACAGACGCGCGATAAGATCGCTCACCATGAAAAACTCGTGGAGGATCTTAAGAAGGACGCTACCTCCGAAAAGGATCTGGGTCAGAAGATCGAGGAGCACTCATCGGAGCTGGAGCAGCTCCGACTGCAGATTGACGAGCACAACAAGAAGTACTACGAGCTGAAGAAGACCAAGGACCAGCATCAGTCCATGCGAAATGAGTTGTGGCGCAAGGAGACACAGATGACGCAGCAGCTGCAGACGCACAAAGAGGAGCTATCGCGCGCAGACCAGGCGCTGCGCAGCATGGCCGGCAAGCCGATCCTGAACGGCTGCGATTCTGTGCGGAAGGTTCTTGACAGCTTTGTGGAACGTGGGGGCCAATCGGCGGAGATTGCCCGAGCCTACTATGGACCCGTCATAGAGAACTTTAGCTGCGACAAGACCATCTACACGGCCGTGGAGGTAACAGCCGCCAATCGGTTATTCCATCACATTGTGGAGTCAGAATACGAGGGCACGCAAATCCTCAAAGAGATGAATAAGCTGAAATTACCGGGTGAGGTGACCTTCATGCCCCTAAACCGGCTGCAGGTAAAAGTACACGATTATCCGGATGATCCCGACTCCATACCCATGATCTCCAAGCTGAAGTACGATGAACAGCACGACAAAGCGCTGAGGTATATCTTTGGAAAAACGCTAATCTGCAGAAATCTGGAGCGTGCCACAGAGCTGGCGAAGAGCACTGGGCTGGATTGCGTTACGCTGGACGGAGATCAGGTGTCCTCCAAGGGATCCCTCACCGGCGGCTATTTCAATACATCACGCTCCCGTCTGGAGATGCAAAAGAAGCGCACGGAATACACCAGCCAGATAGCTGATTTCGAAAAGAAACTCAGCAAGCTGCGAAATGAACTGAAATCCACCGAGAACAACATTAACTCAATTGTATCCGAGATGCAGAAGACGGAAACGAAGCAGGGCAAGTCGAAGGATGTGTTCGAAAAGGTCCAGGGCGAGATTCGTTTGATGAAGGAGGAGCTTGTGCGCATCGAGCAGTACCGGGCGCCCAAGGAGCGCTCACTGGCCCAGTGCAAGGCCTCATTGGAGTCCATGACAAGCACCAAGTCTAGTTTGGAGGCGGAGCTGAAGCAGGAGCTGATGTCCACGCTGTCGTCGCAGGATCAGCGTGAGATTGACCAGCTGAACGACGATATCCGTCGACTGAACCAGGAGAACAAGGAGGCGTTTACGCAGCGTATGCAGTTTGAGGTGCGCAAGAACAAGCTGGACAACCTGCTGATCAACAATCTGTTCCGGCGTCGCGACGAACTGATCCAAGCGCTGCAGGAGATTTCCGTGGAGGACCGCAAGCGGAAGCTTAACAATTGCAAAACGGAACTGGTTTCCGCCGAGAAGAGAATCAAGAAGGTGAACTCCGATCTGGAGGAGATCGAAAAGCGGGTAACGGAGGCCGTGCAACTGCAAAAGGAGCTACAGCAGGAGCTCGAAACTCATGTGCGAAAGGAGAAGGAGGCCGAGGAGAATCTAAACAAGGATTCCAAGCAGCTGGAGAAATGGTCGACAAAGGAGAACATGCTCAACGAGAAAATAGACGAGTGTACGGAAAAGATCGCCAGTTTGGGCGCCGTACCGCAAGTTGATCCCGCCTACACTCGCATGTCCCTGAAAAACATTTTCAAGGAGCTGGAGAAGGCAAATCAGCACCTGAAGAAGTATAACCATGTGAACAAAAAAGCCCTGGACCAGTTCTTGAGCTTCTCCGAGCAGAAGGAAAAGCTATATCGGCGCAAAGAGGAGCTGGACATCGGTGACCAGAAGATCCACATGCTTATCCAGTCATTGGAGATGCAAAAGGTAGAGGCCATCCAGTTTACGTTCCGACAAGTCGCGCAGAACTTTACAAAGGTGTTTAAAAAGCTGGTGCCCATGGGTGCGGGTTATCTCATCCTGAAGACCAAGGACAACGAAGGCGACGAGATGGAAAAGGAGGTGGAAAACTCTGATGCCTTTACAGGAATCGGTATTCGGGTTTCGTTCACCGGCGTTGAGGCTGAGATGCGTGAGATGAACCAGCTGTCCGGTGGGCAGAAGTCGCTTGTCGCCTTGGCCCTCATTTTTTCCATCCAAAAGTGCGATCCAGCTCCCTTCTACCTCTTTGACGAGATAGATCAGGTGAGTCAAACATTATCCATTACTTTGTTTCATTGATACTACTACTACTGTTCTGTGCAGGCCCTGGATGCAATGCATCGAAAGGCGGTGGCGAACATGATCCACGAGCTCAGCGACACTGCCCAGTTCATTACGACAACTTTCCGGCCGGAATTGCTGGAGAACGCGCACAAGTTCTACGGTGTGCGATTCCGAAATAAGGTCAGCCACATTGATTGTGTGACCAGGGAGGAGGCCAAGGACTTTGTCGAGGACGACAGTACCCACGCCTAGGAAATTTCCCCGCCCAAAACCTCATCCCTCAACCCACCACAACCATCCCTTGTCCCAATTATTAGTTTCGTAGGCCTAAGATTTGTTTTCACATTCTTATGAATCGTATACATATATCTAGTTTTTTTTAACGATACTTGCTACATTTAATTTTCCTTAACAATGAGAGTTAGTTTTCGGTTGGGCCGTGCTCGTTGCGTTAAAACACATCGAGCGGGCGAAAAAAACCGAGAGTAGAGCAACTCCAAACCCAGATCAATATGTAATAAAGCGCATAGAGAAGTAATTTAAAATATATTTAAAATAAAAATGTGTATTTAAAACGGAACCGTTTAAATGTGCGTCTTTTAACAGATTAGCTTTTAGAAAATTAGGGTTCTGCTAGAAACTAATCAAAAATAAATTCACATTTATATATGATAACAATGAGGAAAGACTTCTACTTCAAGTACACAGCATTTGTAAAATCGTTTCAAAATAAGAAGTCTGGTTTATTACGCAAAAGTATTGTTCAACAACGAGCATCTATTAATTAAATGTGTGCTCCACACATCCAGGGGCTCCAGCCCCTAGATGCCCGACCAGCTGCTCTCAGCTGACCACAGCGTCCAGTTGTTCCTGGATGGCATTCAGCGCAAAGATGGTGCTGAAGCACATGCCCACGGTGGCCACCTCCAACTGGCTGATGTTGTAGTGCAGCGGCAGTCGCCATAGGACAAAGTGATTAAGCAGAACGAGCAGGGCCAGGCCAAGTGACCACCAGTGCTCGTCGACGATGGCAATGCGCCAAAGGCAATGAACATTCCACAAAACACAGAAGCCCAATTGGGCGGCATCCAGCTTTATGAATGTGGCACCCAACGGACTGCGACTGCTGCCGAACCACAAACTGGTGACTGCAAGTGCCAGTACAGCGCTCCACAGTCCAAAGGCCAGACGCTCCCAGTCGGCGCCGAAGAAGTCACCCATTCGGGTGGCCGGATTTACGGTCTGCAGCTCGCCCACCACCAGGGTGACGAACAGGACGCAGGAGTAACGCCTCGACTTGTCGCACAACAGTCGCTGCACTGCACCCGGATTGGGATGCGTATGCCGCAGCAGGCAGAGCAGGCTGTGGCCAAAGTAGATCCCAAAGGCGGCAATCGCCTTGCTGCCGGTGCTCCGTTTTAGTCCGCAGCCGGAGATCACGGCCAGGACGAAGTGGATCAGACACAAGGCCAGGCGGGAGGTGCCACAACTAGACCCCGGCAAGGGACCATGATTCGGCGGAGGACTTCGGCTGGTAACCATTGTTTTGACTTGATAGCGGTCACACCGGTCGCCGGTGGTTCCACTTCGAAGTTGAGAATCTTCTGTCTATTTTGGGGACGGGCGACTTTTATTGCTCGGCCAAGTCCAGTGCCGATACAACGGCGGATAAAGGGTCAATAGTTAAATTATATTTATTAATTGTTGAATCAAAATAATAACAATATTTTCGTTGGTATTAAATCGGTATCGTTTTCCGTTTTGGCATGAATTTTTTAGGTGGTTTTTGGACTGCCTTTTATCGATAATGTAGTTTCTCGATAATATATCGGATTCCGCAATAGTGTAGACTGGATCTAGGATATGTTTTTTTCAGGAATATTTATTATCTTTTCCAAAAAATATTTGTTTCTCTTAAAGAAAATATTGGTGCAAAATTATTACAGATTTTCCATAAATAAATATATCTTTTGTGAAAACATAATTGTATTAGAAAATTCAATTGAGCAGACCCCCTAGGGTGTATTTAAGAAGAATACAAACCTTAAGAATGGACGGTTGATCAAACATTGCACTTTTACATAATCAATTGGCCTTCAAGTGGACAAAAACGAATACAAATGTTTTATTTTTATTTACAGTACTAGTAGATTATAGAGCCAGAGGACTATAGTTCTAATTGCTTTTTTTATTGCTCAAAATTGATAGGATTTACAAAATGCTAATAAGAAAAAATATTCTTATAGGTGGCTTACAATGGCAAAATGTATGCTATTGTTTTTGAAAAAAAGAAGGCATTTTCAGATAACAATATTACCGTGCATTTTTAATTGTTATATTTGAGTCTAAGAAGATGTGACCAATTGAATAGCCTTTCTTTCTGATTTTATTTGTATATATTTGCCATTTGATTGAAGTCATTAGTACTTTTGTCTTAATTACTGATTTGTACAAAATTTTAAACCGATTTTGAATAAAACTGCTGGTTGCTTTTTGTTCCATCCCTATGGTATTATTTCGATCTGAGCTTTTTCATATTTTCAGACAACACGAAACGGTCACACCGCAGCATTCAGTCCAATCGGAATATCTCCTCGATTGTCTAATCACGCCTCTATCGATTTCTTATAAGAAAGGAAAACGAACGAGCGTGTTATCGAGTGCAACATTTGCGATTTGCCCTGCTGCGCGCGTGCACTTTTTATTAATCTCCCGTATAAATCAGATATCCGTGTGCATTTCGAACGCGCTTCGCCAACACACACACAAAAATTAAGTAAAAAGTATAACACGAATTGCGAATAGCAAAAAAACAAAAGCTTAAACCGTCGAGTGTGAAAATTTCGAGCTAAAAGCAAAGCGAAGCTAAGGTAAATTGCAAGCAGTCTCTGTTTTTTTTTCTCGTGCTATTTTCTACTTCTCATGCTCTTCCCGCATCCTGCCCCTTAAACCCCTGCCCCGCCCCCCGTCTCGACCGCCCCGTTCCCATACAATTGTGCAACACACGCACGCACACAGACGCAAATGGGAGGCTTGGAGCAGTTTCAAACCACCAACAAACACACGCACACATGTCCAGCCACACGCGCGCATATACATATACCGATATACATATGCATACATACAGCTGTATGTGTACATATTCCAATAAGAACGGGCCAAGACGTGAAATGTTTTTTTTTGTGGTGTGTGCATACATACATTAATTGCATTAAACGGGCAAAAAAAAAAAACAAAAAAATATAAATAAAAAAATATGAAACAAAGAGGAGGAAAATAGAACGCAATGTCAATGTCCGCCTATGCCCGTTTCAATTAATTTTGCTGTCGATTTTTGGCCCCAAAAAAGAAGGAAAAACAACACCGAAAATACGCGAGTGCAACGGGTAAAATAACATGATACACACAACACATGTGTGTGTGTGTGTGTGTGTACATTATATATGTATACATAGGCAACATTTTTTCTCTTATTAGTCATCTTTGGTGTGTGTGATGAAAAGCGATGAAATTTCAGCTGAAGCTGTACGTACGTACATCCCCAACAAACAAATTTTTTTCGTGTGCAAAAACCATAAAGAAGTGAAACAAGAAAATTATAACCGAAAAAAGGCTGCCAAAGGCAACTGAAATGGAAATATCAGTAAAATTCAACAAGAAAACTTTCGTGTGTCGCAATGTGTGTGTTTTTGTGTGTGTGTGCAAACAGATTTTCTCGAAGAGAGCCGCATGTCAATTACGGTTCTCCTCGTCCTACGTTTGTATATTTGTGTGTGTGAGCGGCAGGACACCAAAAGCTACGAACATTTCCATGCTGAAGCAGCAGCACATAACGGTTCTTCCTTCGCTTTTCTCAATGTGTGTGTGTGTGGGTGTATGTTTCTGTTCTGTTTTTTCTCCTGCTTTACTTTTTTTCGCCTGCTCTGCTGCTGCGCAGTCGCTGCCGACGTTGAATACACAGCCAGAAAAATATGAATATCAACTATTTTAGTTTGATATGTTGTTAAAGGTATTATTCCTCATTTATTGTTGAAAGAAATGTTAAGTTTTTAAGGAATTACTAAATCCTTGTAATTAATTTGATTTGTTTTCCAATTTCATTCAGATCAATATTTGTTGAATTTTTTCTCTATAAAATTGAAAAGTTAAGCAGAATCATATATTCTACGAGCCAAAGTATACAAAAACTGTTTATCTACTAAACATCAATTTGTTTAATGAAAACGGTATTTCTTTCTGTGCTTTTCTTTGAAATTTGTTTGTCCAATTTGGAGCTCTCTCTCTGTTCCCCAGATCTCCGTCTCTCGCTCTCTCTATTTGTCTCTTTCTCTCTCTCTCTGTATAACCTCCTTGCGTTTTGTTGTCCTTCGACTCCTGAGCTCTTAACTCCAGGGACATGCCACAAGGTTCCACTGTGCGCGTGTTTTCGTTCCGAGAGCTTAGACCCAAGGTCCCTGGCTCATCTCGTCACTTTTGCTCCTTATTTCTTATTCGTTATTCTTATTACTTATTTCGTATTCCCCGCGATCCCCTTATTGCCCCAACCTCCCACGCCCAACTCCCCAAAATAAATATTAAGGAGAATTCCACTGCACTCCTGCCTGCATTCCTCTCAAGCTGCCCGAAATCCCATGAGGAGCCCAGAAGGTGCCAAGTGGCGAGGAAAACTGCCCGGAAAACTGCTGCAATTCATTAATAATTGCGGGGTGTCCGTCCAATGCAATCATCCAATAATTGCGCCATCGGCATTCCAATCGGAGCGATTCGCAATTGACGTTCCGCCACTCCGTATTTCGAATTCCGAATTTCCATCCCCCTCCAAAATTACAGAGCAAATGCTGGTAACATAACGTTCATACGCCAAGCAATTTCTGAATTTCTAATACTTTATTCTAAATCATACCGAAATTTCTGGAAGGTTTCCTAAAATGCTGAATGACTTGAGTCTAAAACGGTTTTAAATGGGTTTTAATGGGTTTAAATGGGTTTAAATGGCTCTTAAATAGTTTCTAGCAAATATACAACAAATTTGTAGGGCTTTAAGAATTCAGTACTAAAATATTTAGTTTTCTTTATAAGAATTTGAAATGTTTAAATTATTCTGTTAAATTTCTGTAATTGTTTTCTGTGTATGGTAAACCCCTATTCACTGCAATATATTTATGGCGTTCATCCAATTTCGAATCTTTCAAAAGTAGCCCAAAAAGTTGATCTAAAGCGACAGCTAATTATTTAATATATATTAAATATTATTTCAAAATTGTTGGTAAGAACTTTGAATAAAGTTTTTCTCTAGATCTCCGGCTAAATATTTTTGTATGCGCAAAAGAAAAGATCCGAAATGTTTAGAGCACTGAATATTAATGCTTGCCAGTGTTTTTCAATCGATCGTTTGATAGAACAGGTGCTTCTGTTAAAACACAGCGTGAGCTGTTTAGTTTCTTTCCCCCGAAATTCCCAAATGCTCCGCATAAACATTAACGCAATTATGTAAAATGCTGTGAAGGGCATTTGGTTTCGACTCGAGTTCCGTTTGGGTCATTTTAAAATGCACCAATTGAATGGACGACCATTCCGATTGAGAGATTAGCTATGCAAATATGCAGTTTGACAGCTAATCGGCAGTCGGTTACCATTTGCCAGTTAATTACTGTCACAAGCCCCAAACAGGTGCAATTCGCAGGTGAAATAGATAGATGTAGACGTTGGCACTTTTTGAGCAATTAGCTGGGCGACAATTGCTAAAAGTGGTAACCAGAGGCTGCGTGGGAATGGCCAATGGGAAATGAGTCACACGAATGGCCACAGACAGCCCAGAACCAGATAGAATCGCATGGAATACAATTGAAACGAGCGGGGAAAATTGAGGGAAAAAATATAAAACATACAAATAAATAAGAATAGTAAAGCAGCCGCCAACACACAGAATTTTCAAAGCGAATAGCAAACACAAAAGATGCTTGGTCGGCGTGAGTTTTTTATTTTCTTCTCTTTTCGTACACACAAATTGCGCTAATAATAGCGAAAAAATAGCGGCAGAAAAAACTATTAGAAGTACAGAGAGTTTTTTATGTTATTTTTCAAAAGCAAAAATAGGAACGCGAGCATAACAACACGAATCGTAATACTTAGAAAAACACACAGAATACTGGGTGGAAATCTTCCGTGAATAAGAATATGAAGTCAAGTCGGTTGCAGTTTGCCCTGTTGCACTACAAAAAAATAACGATTGCCATTAAAGCTGCAAAAAAAACTCATTGGCCAGTACTTAAACTTTTATTGAAATGGTCATAATAAAGCTCGTTGCTGCAATTAAACCCTAAAGTATTAAAGTTCATATGATTTCAGTTCTTAAATCATCACAAGAGAATTTGTTTAGTTGCATCATTCAACTATATTCCTACATAGTGCACCTAAATCGCTTGTCCATTTCACTTTTTAATCAAATTAAAAGGGGAATAAAAGTGAAATATATTTCAGTTTGGCCTGCATTCCACAAATGAAAGAGCTTCGCTTTTACATGCATCACATAATTAAATCAAACTATCAGCCTAGATGCATATTTACACAAAAGAAATCCAATCGAATGTTGGTACAAAATTTCTATAAAGTGGAAAAAGAGCAAGTATTGAGCACTGCATTGTTAAAAAAGGCAAAAACCTTTACATTTCATGCATAGCTTTTGAACCAGTTTGAACAAGGCTTGAAATTCCGTAAGATGTTTTTTCCAGCTACGTTTTTGAAATTTTTATAAGGAGGACCTTGTATTTGACCTAGATTGCGTGAACGAACGAATGCTATTTTATTAATTTTTGCAATGCTGATTAAATATTGACATAACCCATTTGCATTTGGAATAAAGTTTAAAGGAACGTTTGTTTGCCACGGAATGTTAGTATTTTTGTTGGCAATGCACTGACAATGCACTACGTATGTATGTATGTATGTACAACTGTATTCATGATAACAAGGAATTTGGATACAATAATTATATTTTAACTATGTATTTTCAATATGTCTTGCAAATTAAATAATTTTTAAGGAAATTCGTTTTTGTTTACAACAAAATTGGAATAGGTTTTCACATTAAGCCAAAAAATCATGTATACGTAAGCCAGTAGAAAAATTACGTATACGAGCGGTAGGACAATACGAAATCCATTTTCTCAATCCATCAATTAGAAACGATAAATATATCATTAATTATAAAACCTTCATAACTTCGTTAAATTTCATTTTTACGAATATTTCGTTAATTCTTTTTTGCTTTCCAAACAAAAATAGATAACGCCACAAACGAAACGATCTTTGCAGTTGAAGGGAGGTGGTAGTTTTATTATTGTGAACACAGCTGTATGCACATGTATACAACAGTTTCGGGTCAATTGACTTTTAGTGTGGTGCTGCAAACACACACATCTCTGCGTTTCGTTATGCTCGGTTTGTGTGGGTGTGTGTTTGCTGGTGTTGTGTGTGTGAGTAGAGGCGCAGGCAAAAAGGAAAAAGCTCGCAAAAAGTAAAAGCAACACGGCAACTCTGCTGACGTCGACGTCGACAGAGGCAGCGGCAGCGCACGCAACAAATCGCCTGAGCTAAAGCCAAAGCCTAAGCTCACACAGATACGCGTGTGTGTAGCTGTATGCGTGTATATAAGAGCTCACGGGCATAGTTTCTTCCTCGTCCTCGTCCACGTCTTCTACTCCCACTCACACTCTCACTCCCTCTAACACCACCTGCCCATTTCTCTCTCTCGCTCTCTCTATCTCTGTTTTACCCAAGCGTCACCGCACGGTGGGCGTGATAAGCTCAAACATAGAGCCTTGATTTCGCAACACTCATTGGCGCGCGCTTGAAAAATAAAATATGCATA